GTAAGTTCCAGGAAGCTAAGAATGAGAGAGGTAAGAGCAGGTATCTCTATGAAGGTGGCAAGGAATGTGTGGTATATGTTAATAAAAGTGGGCCACTGGAGAGAAGGGATGTAAATGTGACAAGCTGGAAACGTGTCAAGGCTAAAGCTACAGAAAAGTTTTTACCTGGGTGGGAGCCGTTCGATGGAGAAGAGTAAGTCAGGAAGCAGTGGGTTGAAGAGAAAAGTGGAGATGAGGAAGGAAAACAGCGAGTGTAGACAGGCCTTTGGAGAAGCCGGGCTGTGAAGGAAAGACAGACACTGGAGTGGCTAGAAAAGAGGATAGGCAGAACTTGGAGCTCCAGGGTTGGGGGGGAAGGGAAGAGAGCAGAGTCAGGAATTCAGAGGAGACACAGAGACAAAGTGCAAGCCTGAGACAGGTACACATTTACTTCTAAAACTTAACAGGTGATGGGGGACAATAACACAGGACCCAATCGGAGATGCCACTTGGTAGCCTCTGCTTCCCTGGGAGGTGGCAGTCCGGTCCCAGGTCAGGACAGGAGTTGTGAGGATCAAATGAATGGATGATTGCAAAAGAGAGACCCTCAATTTTACAGCCCACTGGAGTGAGCCTGGATTTTCACTGACCATAAATGATTGGTCCTGAACATTAAGGATATAAAAAGCAATGGTAAAAGCTCCTACAGTCTCTGGAAGACAAAAGGTTCCTTCCTAATAGCCTGAATTAACTCAAAGCAGGTCTCCGCCCACTTCATTTGTCACCTTCTAAGTCATCCTTCCACCTCCATTTGCCATATAATCCAATCAGCCCCTTTCAGATGCCTGGGAGCTATTGTCTACACCAAGCTGGGCTTCTCTAAAGCAGCCCAGTTGTTTTTGTCTTGTCCAGACAAAACTGGTTGGCTTAAAAGGGGACCAAAGAAAGTGCTGGTCAAATGAGGGCCCCCAATTAGCTTCCAAGAGACTGTTTTCATTATCTTTGTATCCCATACCTAGCCTGGTGCACTGGGCACACTGTCAGCTTTTCAGAAAATGTTTGTTGAATTAATTCCATTTTTATTTATTCTGGAATTTATTTATTGAGTACAAACACACCCAGCACCTACTGGGTGCTGACTTATTCATGGCGGAGAACAGAACTGGGCAGTGAGGGTTCTTATCATAGCAATTTACAAAGCACTTTCATGGGAGTTACATCATTTGATCTTCAAAAGCACCCCGTGGCCCAGATAAAGCAGTTGTTTGGGGGGGGGTTGTTGTTGTTTTTGGTGTTTGTTACTATTTTTTTTATAATACCCATTTAGACCATGAGAGGAGCTGAAAGTTGCAGGAGTTAAGTGACTTGTTTAAGGTCACACCATTATTAACAGGTGAAGCCAGCACAAGGTACCAGCATTGGGGCCACCCAGACCCCAAGATCAACCTGGGTGGCTAGGATTCTAAACAAACTATTACTCTGTCAAATGATTGATTTGAAATAAGAGTTCATAGAACTATGAGCTGGGGGCAGCAGGGGATCACGGGTAGCTACGATGGTGACCTTTTGCCAGCAATATGACAAAATACTTAGATCCCTCACCTTCAATTTCTTTAACGCCAATGTAAATGTGACCCCATGGGACAGGGGCTTAGATTTCACAGTTCTCTTTTCTGCCTGCCTCTTTAAACTTGCAAATCCATGCCAAGTTCATTCTTCTCTGGAAATGAGGCTGCCTCGTTTTACATACATATATTACATAGGAATGACATGTTCATGCTACATAGAAAGTGCTCTGGAAATTGCCACATGCATAATTCATGTCCTTACTCAAGTCTGCCCGATGGTCACTCTCTGTGGAACCCCCTACCTGGTGCAAGGAAAGCTCCAAGCACAGGTGCTGTCAGGAGTCTGTTGAAGAATAAACAAGACAAGTAAGACAAAGGAGTGGGGTGGGAAGAGATTGACCTGCAACCCTTTTCAACAAACATTTGCTGATGGCCTCCTCTCTGCCCAGCCCTGTCCCAGGCTACTTTATCTCATTTAATTCTCACAACAACCCTAGGAGGTTGCTCCTAATGTCCCCATTCCCCAGAGAAGGACAGGAACGAGACATGCCTTGGGCGGGGGGGGGGGGGTGTCAGTCGCATGCTCATTCCAGAAGCCCACCCAGGGCCCTGGAATTGCCAGCTAGATGCTGGTGACCCTTGGCCCAGGTCCCCCTCCTGAGAGGTTCCCAAAGGGATCCTTCCATTCAGGACACTGTAAGGACAACCTGGTCAGTCACCAAAGACTGACCTCCCCCTTGGGGAGGGAAGCACTCCAGTTTGCTGGCAGGTGAACACAAGCAAAGAACACAGGGAAGTATTCAGGGTCAAGGCACAAGCATAGCAAAGATCGGGGGTAATAACCAATGCCCCCTCACTAGGGCACTAGTTTAAATCTTTAGCCAGAAGCGAGGGCTGGCCGGTAAGGGCTGCTCCTCTTCGTTCTTCACCATCCTGGTCCTGGGGGTCTTCTGGTGGCTGCGTTGTATGCTGATGGGGTCCAGGAATCTGTTCTCCTGGGCCCTCTGGAAGTGATCAAAGGTTAAAAGACCCACTTAAAGTCCAGTTTAGATATTAGTTATAATGTAAGTTAATTAATTACAGTTAATATTAATTAGTTTAAATTATAAATTGTCTTTAATGGCTAATGAAGCTGGGGGTGATAAAGGAGGGTGGCAGGGTTGAGGGAGTCTGCCTGTCATGTTGTATGCAAATGACAGGAGGAGGGGCTGAGGTACCATGAGGTGGAAAGGCACTTTGCAGCAGCTTGGCATCCAGAGGAGGTGGTCCTTGAAGACAGGGGACAAGCCCATGACGTCATCACTGAAGAGAGACCTATGGCATGAGAGGGGGCTGATTAGAAACCAACTGGATGACCTCTAATGGCCAGCACAGGAACAACAGAGAGAGGGAGGGGGCAGGTGGAGAAAAAAGGAGGAAGGAGTGGGAAAGGGGGGAGGGAGGAAGGAGGAAGGCCTTAGGAGGGAAGAGGGAGGGGTGTAAGAGGAGGGAGTGGTGTGGAGAGAAGAGGGAGGAGTGTGGAGGGAGGGGGAGGAAGGAAGTGGAGAAGGGAGGGAAAAGAGGGAAGGGGAGGGGGGAACAGGGAGGGGAAAAGAGTGAGGGAAATGAGAAGGGAGGGGGAGAAGGTTAGAGGAGAAACAGGAGTGGGAGGAGGGAGAGGAGAAATAGGAGCAGGAGGGGGAAGAGGAGAAGTGGGAGGGGGAAGAGCAATGGGAGGGGGTAAGGATGACTGACTTGATTGACAGGTCACAAGTGTTAGCTGTGTGCGCATGCGCCATCCAAGGCCTAGGCAAGCGCGCCAGGAATTGTTTGCACGCTGAGACCGCTAGGGGGCGCGCGGTCCGCATTCAGAACCTAAGAGCGCAGCCACCTGAGGCGCCCCCGCCTGCGCTAGGGCGCAGCTGCCAAGCTGGCGAAGGTGGGCGGGGGAGCGCCCAACAGGTCTCAGGCCTGGAGGCGGGCATGGCCCTCCCCAGCCCATCACGCAGGGCCGCTATGTATCCAGAAAGCCTCGTCAAACTACCACCAGCTAAAGCCCACCTATAGATACGGGCTAGCACCCCCCACACGCGCCCATAGGGCCTTCTGCACCCCTATCACAGGGGTCACCTCGCATAGAGCTATGAGGAAATCAAGAGGACCCCCACCATAAGAGGCCTCCCAGAGCACGACTACACTTCTGCTAAGTAAAAACTCAGAAATCTTGCCTCCCACCAATTAAACATCAATTAATCAACGTTTAAAAAGACCTAGTTCTCAATACACCATGCGTACTCATTTTTGTGGTCTTGGAAAACATATTAAAATAAAAGACCACTCTGACCCTCCCCTCCTTCTTCTATCCCCCTCCCTCAGGCATCAACACCTTCTCCCCCAAAATCTTGCTTCCCTCCCTCGCCATAGCAAAAATCTCAAGACCCCGCTCGAGGGCGCTAAATTAATTTATGTATCTCTTCATCATTCTCAAGTTAACCGCATCTTCCTAAGACCCCCAGAAACCAAAAACCACTGAAAATAAACTAATCTGCGTCCACTCTTGCACGACACCTTAAGTCACACAACCAAGTGCCCATGGCAGCATCACTACCCTGTACGAATGCTGCAGGCGCTCCCCACTGAATCCCGAGGACCTCAAAGCATCTCCCCCTTAGGTAAATGAACCCAGAATCTTCTAGCAGATCCTGCGCCCGGCCCCCTCCAGCAGGAGAACAAAGGCCACCTCCCCTCCCCACCCCGCCCCCCAAAATTCCGCAGTGCCACCAGCGCCCTCTTGCGGCCAGCAAGAGAACTTTCCAGAAACCTGCCACGTAGCAGCCCGCTTACGCCCCCCCACACACGCACACACAAGCCCGCCAGCTCAGAGTGGGGAGGGGGCGGCTTGGGGGGCCTTGACAGGGACAAAGGAAATGGCAAAAGGCGACTTTACCGAAGTCAAAAGCCTGCAACATGTCAGAATCTCCCAGCGACCATCACACGCGATGCTGAAAAGAACCCCGGCCCCCAATTCTCTGCTCCCAGCACCCAGAACCCCCCCTCCACACACCCCTTTATTGCATTTTCTCTCTTCCCTCTTTCCAGACACAAGGACAAGGTTTTCCCTCCATCCCAACCCCCCTCTTGCTTATATTCTACCTGTGCTCCCAATTCCTTGACCCTCCCCTCAAACCCTTCCTCTACAAACTGATCCTAGGGGCTTCTGGCAGGTTCGCACTTAGAAACCATCTCTCTCCACTATTAAAAGTGCATGGTCGGGGTTTAACCACATGCTATGGGTTACAAATTTTACTCTATATTTTGCCTGGAGTCCGCTCTGCACTAAACCTGGGTTACTTGGGTTTGAAATCCTTGGCAGATCGGAACCTCTACCCCTCGTGCCCATGGTCTACCAAGAACCTAGCTAAAAACTAGGGTAAGATAGATATACTCGGACACCCCTCTTTTCGGGTGCTTCCCCCCTAATTCATGGGGCATGCAGAATGCATCGCCGCCATGTCTACCACTATTTACATGATAAGGAGATTCTAAAGGTGGCCCTGAGCCCCAAAACACAGGATTTGGGACCTCAGTAACTGATACAGTGGAATCCAAAGGAGAATTTTTCTGATCTCTCTGCCTCTCTTAGTCTGAGTCTCTGCCTACCCTCAAGGACTGGCCGAGAAAGGTACCCTGGTGTGTCCCCCCCCCTCCCCCAAGGAAAATGTGCCTCAAGATCCCCTTCCCTGATAGGATTTTCATGTCCGATGCTTGGGAACCAGGCAAAGTAGCCGCCTTCAGGAGAAGGTCCCTGGCATCAGTCTTTCGGGATGTCCAGGAGGACAGAGCCCAACCCAGAAAGGGATGTCGTCTTCCTTTTGCACATCCTTCAAGACAAGGATGGCCAACCACTCACCAGGTGAGGGATTCTCGCGTGGGCGCCCCGGCTCTTCGGAGGAGCTCCAGCCATGGCCAGCAAGCCAAGGCGAGCTCTATCTCAGCTCTCCGCGGTCTGCGCTAGGGGCTGGCTGGGTGGGGTTTATATGGAGGCGCAGAAGGGGTGGTCTCTGACGTCAGCGCATTCTGCTGCAATGCGCTCATTTCTCTAAAAATGATTGGCCGGAAAAATGAGCCCCCCAGATTCTATGACAAATTGCTCTAGCCGCACCCAGACTGCAGCAAAGAACGGAGGAAAAAATTCTGCCGCAGTGCCCGTGGCCGCCATGACCAACACCCTGTGGTCGCTGGTGTTTCTGCCTTACATGAGCCCTGACCAGTGGAGACAGGGCAATTTGTGTGTATAATTTGTGAGGAAATCACCCCAAGGGATGGTTGTTTGCAGGCAACCAAGGGTAAAGGTAGGGTGCTGGGGGGTCGGCAAATCACACACCTGCCTGATTGGGCATATCGATCAGAGGATGTGGGCATAGGGAAAGAAAACGATGCTTTTTGCTTTTTGTTGTGAAAAATAAAAGGCTCCGGGTGAGATAGTTGGCAAGCCCGAGGTTGTCACCCCATTGTAGCGCACCCTGTTTCCGATCAGCTATCTTTGATATGGAAGACTCTGCATAGCATCTTGGAGTCAGAAAAATCTAGTTTTGAGTCCAGGGCTTTGCTGCTTACAACCTGTATGCCCAGAACCCTGAAATATCCCTTCCTCTTTCAGTGGTCTGCTTCTTCCACCTAACAAGTGGGTACCCCCAAACCAGGGTTATAATAAGAATGTTGACGTGAGCCGCGTCTCCCTACAAGAAGCACTTTGCATGTGAGGACAGGGTCCTATGTGGAGATGGCTGGGGTGCACCCTGCAACTTGGTGCAACTTAGGGTGATTTTCCCATGCAAACACTTTAAAAGAAGACTTCTGCCCCCTGCTCACACACCCCCCATCCACACACCCCCTGCCGCCCCGAGAAAACAGGCAGTGACACATGTTGCCTTGGAGCAGAACTGCCTGGCCTCATGCTCCGGTACTTGGCACACGAGAGCTAATCCTTAACAGGTGGCGCCTTCCGCAGCTCTGCATTGCCTAAAGGGGCCAAGTGGACACTGCCGTCAATCAAATGTCCTCGGAAAAGGTCAAAATGCTGTTGAAAGGGACGACGGATCTATCTTAGGGTGACAGGTGGGTGGCAGCCGGGAAGACAAGGAAGGAGCGCCTGGTGACAGAAAAGGGGTGAGAATGAGTGATGGACCCTAGAGGGGAAAACAGAAGCCCTTTTGGGGTATCAGAAAGTCTCCACACTTCTTTGGGGGGTTCCAGATGCTTCTGAGTGAGCCCCCCCTCCCCATCCCCAGCCATCTTAGGAGATGGTAATGCGGAGGAGAGATTCCGGGGCTGAAAGGGAACAAGAAGGGCCACTTGTAAGCCCAAGGCTACTGTGAAGAGACGTGAACATTGACCACCAGGTCTCAGAGACTCAGTGGAGCCTTGGACCAGCGCTCGGTACCAAGTAACTAACTGCACTAGTGGGAAGATGAAGATCTGTGATTGGGGTGGTGGGAGGGGGTGATCTCAGGGAGCTATCTGAGCGTGTCAGATAACGTGGGAAAAAAAAAAAACCTCATTTACAGCCTGGGGGGCACTTTAGAACCCCCCCCAAAACGAGAGCCCGGGAATCAACATTTGCGAGACAGAAAGGCCCCCACCAGGCACAGACATCAAGAACGCTTCAAAAAATCATGGCTCCAAGCACCCCAATCAAAAGGAGAGCGTTATTAACCACGGTGTTAATAGCTAGGATACAGCCGGAGCTGGCCGGGGCCAATCAACAGCGAGGAGCCCCTGTCGTCAAGACCCCATAGCCAATCAGACTCTGGCAGACCTGGTTGCTAGCCTCTGGGGGCAGAGGCAAGGGGTGCGCATTGTCACAGGGGGCTCACATTCACACTCTGCGCGTGGGAACTCAAGGTGGCCACCAGAGAGCATCAGCAGTCACGCACTCAGTGTTCCTGGAGGCTTTCTTAAAAGCAGCCTCGGTCCTGCAACTCCAAAACGACATGAGTTGATGCTGTAGTGGGAACCCCAGGCCTCCGTGGCCAACCCCTGCAGGGCCTTAAAAGGAGAACCCTTCAGACACCCAACAATCTCTCTCCTCAAGGCCCAGCACCCATAAGGAAAGGTGGGCCTCCCACAGCAAAGCCAACTCCTGCTTTTCTCCTGAGCCCCCCCTGGCCCCTAGGCCTGTTTCTCAGAGTCTAATGGCAAACTCCACCCCTCTGCTTCAAGGCCTTACTGACAGGCCAAGGTAAAAGACCCTGGAAATTATGTGTTTCTGACGAAATCACCGCAGTTTCAACCTCAGCTTTGCTCCCTCCTGGCTGGGAGGCCGAGGTCCAGGCCCTTCCCCTCTCTGGGCCCCTATTTCCTCATCTGGAAAAAGGAAAGAGTTGGACAGGAGAGTCCCCAAGGAGCCTTCCAGTCCTGCTTTGCTTGATTTGAATGTATACATCAGGCGAGTCAAATGTCTTCCAGAACATTCTGCATGACAGTAATTAGTATCAGGTGTATCCTGCAGTCCATGTGGTTACTTCATCATGCTGCTTTTCTTTCCATTCTATTTTATTTTAAACAGAACTCCATGGTAACATGTTTATCCTTCTGGCTTCCTAAAAGAAAAAGATAGGAGGAAAAATGGCAAAGGGAGAAAGGGAGAAAGAAAAGATTACTCTAAAGTAATCTCCACTGAGCATGGTTTAACCACAATTTTAAAAAAATCCATATGTTTAAATGTTTTTGTTGGCTTTTCTGGAGTTGAGAACCCAACTTTTTAAATATTTATTGGTCCACAGCAATGGAAGAAGTTCTTGAAGAAGCCAAACCTATGGTAATATTTGGAATTGAGTTTTTTTCTCCATCTGGGCAATGCTCACCATGTTTTCCCTGCTCAGAAAGGACGTTTGAGGGCTCTGATTTGTATCTACGGGAGAAACAGACAAGGAAATCCAGGTTTGAGAAATGGAGCACTTTTCTGTGTGCATGCTGAAACCAGGCTCTCCTGCAGGCCTGGAGGAGGAGGGCCCATGTCCACCCTCCCAGCCTCCGGATCCACTCAGCTTGCTGTTCCTCCTCCTCCTCCTCCTCCTTTCACATAGATCTAATTCAAAGCACACATTTTTCTTATTTTTTTAATTCATACTTGGGAACCCTCAAAAACCACGTGAGCAGTCTCCTATCCGCATGTACATACTTGTGGGCAAATGTACAAACGTCCTAAGATTCAGCCGGAAATGAACACAAGGTCCTCTTTTTCATCTCCCAGGCCCGGGCAAATGTGCTCTCTTCTCAAAAACCATACTGAGGGCTATTCCAAAACAGCATACCCAAGTGCCTGCCTCTCTGAGCAGCCTTCCCAGTCTTCTAGGTCCCCCAAGTGTTAGTGTCCCCCACAAATCTCTTGGGGTGCTCTTGAGCTACCAGGCATACGGTTACCAATTCAGACCTCTCAAGGTTACATGTCCCTGAGCCCCTCCCATCCTACCACAGACCTCAGCCAAAGTCATTGGCCTGCAGAGTACCTGGAGGTTCTTCCCATGACACTGGGTGGGTTGGTTGGTTTGTATTTGTATGAGGGAGCATGGTATTGCCAGCTACAGTTCCTGTGCTTCCCATAAGGTGCACCAGGTAATGAAAAATTTAGAAAAAATGATCTTTCAAACAACAGTCCCATCTTCTGGGGTCCTAGAATTGACTCTTCTAGAAAGTACACCCACGCCAGCGCCTAATGTCAGGAAAGCTCTGCTCCCCTGAAACCAGGATTCTAGGTGCATCCTCTATGTTCACACAGGGTTTATGAAATTGTAGACACCAAAAGAAAAGTAAGTCTAGAGCCTTCTGCAGAAGGCCAAGAGTAAAGTTCACTTCCCTCAGACTGCTGGCTCCATGGCCTGGGGGAGTGAGTGGCTTTGCTCTTCAGGAAAACTTCGTAACTTCCAGTAACCAAGAACTGGAAGGCAGCACTTCCACAATGGTCCTGTTAGTTGTTCTGGGTGAATGACTTTGGGGCAATTTTTCTTTTCTTTTTCTTCTTTAATAACTGTCTTTCCTGGCATGTATTACTTTTATAATCTCTTTGTCTTTAAATGCAGCAGTCCAAGAAGACGGACCATTTTAGCTCCTTCTATAAGGGCCTCAAATAGAAAATCTTTTCCTAACAAGTAAATAAAAATCTAAAGACTCGTGATGAGATATATCTCCTGCCTGCATATCAGAAGGCATTTCCTGAGCAGAGGAGTCCTTCATCCATGGGCAGTGGGGGCAGGGGGGAACACAGCTGTTCCCTACTTCTGGAAGGGCTCTCTTGAACCTGCCACAGACACAAACCAATTCTTAACAGATAAAAACAGGAAAAGGCAGTCTTGAAGAGTCCCTTCCTGCAGGAGGGATCTAGAGAAATTCTACTCACTAGCGGACAAGGCAAGCTATAGCCCTGGATAGGATTTTAAAAGTCACATCTTGACACTAGGAAGAAGTGGCCACGTCGCCAGCTCCACCCCTACCCGTCCCCCCTGGCTTTGGGCATGGGCCAGCCCCGGATTCAAGCTAGGGGTTTTCTTGGCCCAACTCCATGGAAATATTTCCTTCGGTAGAGCAAAGAACTGCTTCATTCAACCGCCTGCAGCTAGGGAGGGGGTGGCTTTCACTGTGTTGACAGAGAGCAGCAAAGGCCCGGGGAGGGCCCAGAAGAGAAAATGTATTCCAGGTAGACAAGACTGGAAAGTTTGCTTTTTTTTTTTTTTTTTAAACTAAAAGATTGCTGACAGTTGAAAAACTGCCACCCCACCCAAGAGACTCCAGGAGAAGACACTAGATTTCTGCGAGGCCTGGAAGTATCTTACTGTCAACAGGAAGGGGGCCAGTGTGCGGCACACTCTCAATTTAAACATTCAGGTCTGGATCATTCCAGAGCCCACAGGCAGCCTCTCTGAGCTGGGTCTGGTGACACTGCAGCTCAGTCTAAACAGAAGCCCAGCTCTCTGGTAGAGAGTCCAGGAGATTGTGATTAAAAACTC